TGATCCCTGCCCTACACCCCAGCTATACACATCATTTGTCAGCCTTTCCATTGTGACGTTTCCTGTATCTGTAGAAAAAGAGGGGACTTTCTAAGAAGCATCCTCTTTCTGTGCACATATAACAGAAGTGAAGCCTGATTACTTGTTGTGGGATTTCTCTTACCAAGAATTCAGATAACAATAAAGTTAACTTTCAACTTTCAAACAAAGGAGCATTTCTTTTCTGGATAATACTCAAATGACATTTGAAACCTATGTGACGTGTTCTTCTGACTACGCATGGACTTGCTAGTGCCAGAATTTGATTTTGGTTCATTTTTAGAGTTTTCTCCCACAGTTCAGTCTCCCTGCCCTTTAACCTCAGAAACAACTGAACTGTTTTCCCTGCTGGCTTGGAGCTACTATTCAGAGCACCAGTACGAGTCAATAAACAACACTGTAAGTCTGTGACATCCTAGTAAGGGCCACCCTCATGAAAGGTTATTTAAAAATTGCTTCTGCCTTGGACTGGTGCTTACAGGTGACCTGGCGTAAATGCTAGGAAAGTCAGTGACAGCTCCCTGAACCACTTAGGTCTTTAATGACAAAGCTTCAAATCAACATGAGCTTATTATTCCATTCTCCAGTGTGGTAAGATTTCTTATATTAACATGGTTCCTTAGTATAATGAAAAAACATGTGTTCAGTGGTGGTGTGTCCAGATCTAGACCTGTTAACAGATCTAGAAAACAGCAAACACAGAGTGGGTGTTCTTTAACATTTTGGTTGCAAAAAAAGTGCTTGAAGGGCCTTTGGTGTGGGATGGCTCCTGCACTACAGGTGAGTCCTACGATATCTGGGTAGCACATCTAACACTGCACAAGCTAAGTGTTGAGACAAAGAAGTTATTTACCAGTTCCATGTGATATTACTTTCACTTCACAATGAAGTAAATCGGAGATGAACCCATTACCTCAGTAAGGGCAGTGCAGCCCAGATCCTCCAGAGTACTATTTCTCTTTAGCTGACACTTATTTGGAGCCCTGGCCTTTACAGCAAGACTCTCAAGCTTTGTTCCTTGCTTGTTTTGTATTGGAACTGAAACCCAAAGACTTTCAGCACTAAAGCATAAATTACCACACCTTGACAAAGGACTGAGTGCTCTTACAGCTTCCTACCTTCTGTGGTGGCAGGGAGGTGATTGCTGACAGTACAGCAGGTTCATGCTGCCTTGCTGGTGTGGAGATCAGAACCTTTAAGGAAACCATGGGCTTCCACCCTGGGATCTCAGAGGCATGTGCAGCACTAAATGTTATTTCAGAAAACCTGATAGAGAAAGGAAAGAGGTTCCTTATGGATATATTATAAAAGCAAAGTGAAATATCTTTAAAAAATAAAATATAAATCTATGAAATCTTATCTCAGTAACACTGCATATCTTGCTTTTAGCTTACAAATCAATGAAGTTTAAAACAAAATACTAGAAAATAACATATGAAATGTCCAGCTCTAGAGAATTCTTACTTCTTTTTTAAAATAGGGTTACCTCATTAAGCAATGCAGCAAAGTACGGTACTTCACTCCCTGCCTCCCATTAGATGCTAGTGAGGCAAAACATTCAACCTAGCATTTGGATGTTAGCAGCCAAATCAGGGAGATAAACTTGTATCTTCCCATAGTCATGTAACAGAGAGTAATACGCAGCCAACAGAGTTGGTTTAAACAGAAGCTGTAATTACCACAAAAAAACAACAACCCTAAAATCTCAACATTGCTGAAAAGTTCATTGAAATTATCATTTCAGTATTTTCTATCAGCTCTACTGACAGATTATAGAAAAATGATTTGCATGTACGCATAGAACTTCTGTGGATCGTAGTGGAGAAAAAGCAATATATCAATAAGGGAACTGTCTGTGCTTCTGCAAATTATTTTGTTATATTGCCCATGTTTTCCTACTTTCTTATGGCTTTTTTCATCTCCATGTCCTTCTCTAGGTTTTCTTTTCTACTTTCTTCTGTTTTTTCCTTCTTGGTCCTTTATCCTATCTCTATCTCCTTTCTCTCCTTTTTTCTCTCTCACCATCAGGAACAGCAGACATTGCAAAATAATACAATGATAAATGAGAAAAGCTACTGAGAATCAGAGAAATGGAGCAGAGCTTTGATCTTTCAGACTTCGGTAATTTTACAGTGATGTCAACATGACTGCAGTCAAGGCAATTACACACATGACATCAAGAACTGTGGACAGTTCTAGGTACTTCTATATCGAATAGCTCCTGGAAGCTTACTCTGTGGTTTATGCTATACACAAAGTTCAGGTTCTGTATCACAGAAGAACACTGGTTTCAATCACAAACATATCTCTTGGTAAGACCTAGTCACATGATTCTAGTCTTCTGCAAAATCCAAGTCCTCTAGTGAAATCACCTCTGTGAGTTAAGAAAAATTATCTGCATTTTACCAATGGGAGAAAGACCTCTGAGCCTCGCCAAGAAAGTCACAAAAGCTTGTAGGAAAAGCAGCAGGAGAATCCTTATGCTTAAAATAATTTCCATTTACCTCCATAATTAAACCCTGAATTGGTACCTGAACTTAGAAGCCCGCGTTTGGTATAACCCTATCAGAGATTCTCCACTGTATTCTTGCTAACCCCTTTCTGGATTTCCATCCCTCCAAATCTCTTAATCTGTTTTGTTTCCCTTGGTAGCACCCTTTTCTCCGCATTTCTCCAGCTCCAGTTCAAGGACGCATACTTGCTCAGGACAGCACTCAGATTGCATGCCACAAAAATCAAGTCAATTCCAAAGGACCTTTGGAAAGCTTTTCAAGCTAAGCGTATGTTGCTTTGCCAGTCTGTACCTGGCAATCTATCACTAAAATATACAGAACTGAAGCAGAAACTAGAGTTTCAAAAAGGCTGGGTGACATTATAATTTCAAATTATTTCTATGGATTAAATATGCAAATTCGATATTGCTACAAGAAGCTGCAATTCAACAAATAACACACTTGAATTGGTATAATGCATGGTTTGGAACCTGCTAAATGTTTGTAAATATGTCTGTTTTTATAACTGGGAAGGCAATACTCATTGGAACTCCTAGCATTCGATAATATTTTTTAGATTTAAAATAAGGATGAGTCTTTTGTCTGCTGTTTAGAACATTTGAAAGTTTGAAAGAGTAGCATATATGCCATGCATCTTCATTTGCCTCATTCTTCAGCGATCTTCTGATTTTCACTAAAAATATTTTGAAAACATTAAGCCATTTTTTAGTAATGACTTTAGAAATTTGCTGTAAAGAATCTCATGTTTCTAGACCTGACTAAATTAGGTTTCTGCTATAGTCTCTCCCACAGGTTCCTTTTGTTTTTAAGTACAAGCAGCCGAGCTGAATTGCCACCTGTACGTATTTTCAGCATATTTTTTCCTCAAAGCCACATTTTCACCTCAGTCTCCACATCAAACTCCTATCAATGCCAAGGGGAAGCTCCACATATAGAACAAGGGGTGAATACAGCAATTAGCACTGGGTTAGTTTTGTGTGCCTTCTGCCTGCTGCTGTCATTTGCATATGCTGACTTTTCCTGTGCAAAAAAGTCATCTGAGAAACGCACTGTGCCGTTTTGATTTCTTTCATGTGGAAAAGAGAAAAGCAAAACATATGGAACAGAAAGATTCGAAAGATCAGCAGCTGTGATAACTGCAGCAATTGCACTGGAGACAATAACAAACATCACAGAAATTCAGCATTGTACAGGATGCCAAGATTTTCCTCTTGCTTTATTTAATTTTCAGTTTTCACAAAAGTGGTATACATTAACTGAACGTTAATGTTAGTCCTTAAGTGCATATTTACCACGACTAATTAACCATTTTTCATTTCTCTTAATACCACATGTGCAAGACAGTAAGCATCCCAGTATTCATGAAACATCTCAACTTTACTTTGCTTCATTATTATAGTGAAAAAAGAAACCTGTTGTTTTAAATACAATATAAATTCACAGACTTATCCAGCTTTCTCTGCTTTAAATGCAGATCTCCTCCATTTTCCAGAAGAGTATTAGAAAGCAACTAAATGATACAGTTTAACAGTGAAATTGGTATTGTAATGTATTCTTAGAGGATTCAGTCTCACAAGATGTGCTGATAGGCTTTAGATCTGAGCTTTACAAATATTAGATTCACAGTCCCTGTATACTCAAGTCCTTTCTAAAATCAGCAGATTGTGAAAATGACAGGCTCTGAAGAACTATAACTGCCCAGTGCATCACGTGAAAAGTGACAGGCCAATCAGTGAAATAAAAAATGAAGGTACCAATTTACAGTGCAAATGACCAAACTAGCAATTTAAATTATTTTAACAACGTCATGCAGCAGAAACCATCTATAACCATTTAATCAAAAGGAAGGATTGCTAATCTGGTGCCCGCTGGTCCAGCATTGAAGATACCATGGAAGAGAGCAATTGGGAAAGTCTCTCCTCTTCTTCAGAGCTGCTTTCTTTTTCTTGGGCTCTAAATAAAGCAGTATCAGTAGCTGCATGATGGCTGTGAAAACACATCTTCAACCATCTATCCTGGCTGAATAGATCCCTTCAATCAGTTTTTTTTTTCCTCATCAGAAAAATTAAAAGGCCATGTCCTCACTGCTGCAGGATAAATCACTTCTCTAATTAGAAGTTCCTCTTCTTAGTTTCCTATGCAGCCTAGCAGATAACTCTTCTAGAATCTCAGATGAGGTCAATTCTGCATTTACCATCACATCTGCACACCTACATGCAAAAATTGAGAGTTTAAGAAGTCAAGGTGCATTTCACTTCAAAAGTAAGAAAACATGCAAATTAGTATTTCTGTGACAACAGTGGCCGAACTAGTAGGGTCTAATCCAATCCCTATTATATTCAGAAAACTGCTATTGACTTCGACAGGAGTTGGCATGAGTGCTTAACTATGCATAAATATGAAAAGCAGTTGTCAGTGATTTTCAGTGTGAAAACTGTACTGCAGGCATTATAAACAGAAGTGGCAGGTGGTAAATATCGAGTCAGAAAGTTCTGCAGTTGAAATGAAACACTCTGCTTTCTATGAACCAAGTTTTCAAACAATTCTCTGAGGTCTGTAGAGTTCAGGGAAACTTTTAGTACTTCATTATTTCCAAAACTTGCTGTTCATTAAAGCTATGAACACAATATCAATGACAGAGGAAGTATTTAACCATATGCATTGTCATCAGACACTACAGTCAATGTTTTAGAATGCTCTACAATGCTCTGGTATCTTTGGGAAAACAGTAACAACAATGCTGCTTGTACAAACCTGTGTGTCAGTTGTGTAAACAGTTATACATATTCATTTTCAATTAAATTAATAGATGCATGTCCAAGTCTCAGTAGGATAAGCATCTTTGAAGAAGCTGTAGCATTATTTTTATATCTAAGGAGATGCTTCACAGCTAACCCAGAACATGTCTCAAAGGAAAAGTTACTTTATGCTTTAGAAATTTGTAATTTTTAAACAGTTTATTGTTTCATTTATTACAGAAGATGCCATGAATACTAGCTAAAGATTTCAGTGAAAAACACTGTGAGAAAAAAGTTAGTAGCTTTCAATTTTATTATAGCAGAATAATTGCAATTAATTTTTACTGTGCTTGTTGCTAGAAAAATGTTTTCTATCTATGAGATAATCAGAAATCAGTTTTGTAAACACTCAAAATTATAAGTCTACTCAAATTACTTGTGTTGGTCAGTTTGAGAAAACCAGGTATAAGTAGGTATTTGGAAAGAATCAGTAAGCAAAAGTGTTGACAATTCATATTTTAGAACCATAGTGTTTCTCCTTTTGTGGATCCTAATTTACATTTCATTGATTATGGACAAAAAGTTGATCTTTTCATTTAATTCCTGCTAACTGTCATGAACACTCTGCATCCTCAGGACAATTTTTAAACCTTGAAAAGCCAGGAACAGTTCTGAACACTTATATAGTTATTTCCTTGCTTTCCTCTTACAATGCTCATTAATGTATTGTACTTTTGCAGACTGCAAATATAGGAAAAAGGAAATAATGTATTTAAAATATATTCCTTTATAAGTGTGAAAATAGTTTCCAGACATTTTGGATTGCTTTTTTTTTTTTTTTTTGCTTGTCTACTGCAGCAGCCCCTCTGCTTTGATTGCTTCCTTATCTGTGTAGCTGGATCACTTGTGCTGTTACAAGTTATGTCAGTCCAGTATCAGAAGTAGGAATTCTCAAAAAAAAAAAAAAAGAAAGAAAATCAGCTGAAACCATGTG